ATAAGAACTAAATCACATATTATACACAAGGGATAACTGTATTATTTTATACATATTTTGAAAATAACGAAAGTAATTTAAAAATATAATTTACTCATCATATATTGTAAAAATATAAAAGAAAATTTACATACAATTGAAATTAATTCTCAGGGCATAAATTCACATACCTTAAGATTTTTATATTATTTTATTTTCATGGATGGAGTTTACCTTCTGAGATTTAAAGTAGCCTTGACATTGAAAGTCTTTAACAGACCTGGACTATATCTTACTAGCATAAAGCTTTCCTAGAATGAACAAGGTTAAACCAACAAATAAAAGTATGTCACACACTTTAGAAACCTGAAAAGCTGAAAAAAAAAACCAACCTTAATTAAATATTCTAAAAATAATATAAATATGCATAAAATACTTAATCTGAATGCAATAATTAATAATACCACTTAAGTATGATTCACATCTATTATGTATGAAGCTATTAATATGAAACACCAGTGTTATCTGTCTAATAATTATAAAAATCAGGCACCGCATGAAGAATACCTACTGGGTCCAACCTAGCAATATCTTTTCTGGTGACTGTTGACTAGAAAAACAGATGGTACCTTAATGGTAATGCAAGAGAAGTTAAGACCACATTATAATTGAAGATAACTGGATTCTAAGCAAAAAATACTTAGGCCTGAAGAAGGCAGCCACTAGATTAAGTCCTGATCAGTTGTTTTGACTCATCTCTTACTTAACCATGTGGCATTGGAAGAATTATTTGGCTATGTACCTCTTTTCTCAACAGTGAAACTATTTAAAGAGTTATATTTCATAGATCTCATTAGTGTTAAATTATTTGGATTATACAGACCACAGAATACATCTGATATATCTGTTTAACAAATGCTACATGTGACTTTTAATTTTAGGTTTACTTTGAAATATGTTTCTATTTTCTATGTATCATAAAAAAGAACATCCAGTCAGCTTACTGGATAGTATAGTTAGTAACATCGTAGTTAGTAACAATCTTCTTCCTCTTATAAATGTTCACATTTTACAATATAATTTTCTAAGTAAACTTGCCCTGTGTGAGGCAGATTCACCTGCAGTCATGGCAGAAAGCATGCTTCCAGTCTAACTTCTGTTCTGTGGCCCTAACTTAGTCTTATCAAATTTCACCAACCTAAACATCTGTAAGGCCTTGTAAAGTAGAATTGGGGAATGCTGTCTTTTGTCTCTTCCCATCGGAGAATCCTTTCCTTTGGTGGTGGTGTCACTCACAAGTAGATTTCTCCAAGCATTTCTAATTTACAAACGTCTCATGAAGCTTTGGGGAAAAAAGTAGTTCTCCAGAGAAATGCACTGAAAACACAAACAAAAATAAAACAACTTGAGGAGAAGAAGAAAGTTATTGATTAACAAAGTAGTTGAATTTCTACTAGTGCATTCATTCTGCCAACTAAAGACAAACTTGAATTTTATTACTTAGCTCTGAATCAGTCTCTCTGTAACTTGTCTGTAAAAACAAAGCAAAAGAAAAGAGAAATTATCTTTGAAAAATGTCAGAAAGCTGTTACTAAGTCTAGAAGAATCTAAGATATTGCCTTGGAGTAGTGTTCTTATCTTCTTTTTATGCTTCTTAGGTTGAGTTGAACAGTGTTTGAAAGACAATATTATCATCATGAATGCTAATAAAGATGAGAAGCCAAGGTCCAGAAGTCAAGATCTTCACCTTCTTCATGCTTGGATGATGCTAATCACGACTGTGCTGTTTCTTCCCATCACTGAAACATCTAAACAAAATATCCCACGTCTCAAGCTAACTTACAAAGGTGAGTACATAAATATTTTAGTTTTCATTATGATATCTGAATGTCTTCTTTGAATACCTATTTCTTTTATTTAGAAATGTATATTCACCTCTAGAAAGTTACATTGACAGTACAGTATGTAGAACACAGGCTACAATTATTTACTTTTGAGAAGTAAAGGATACTTAAACTACTCAAGTACATTTATCAGTTGATATTTATAATGATTAATTTAGTCTACCAGGTCTCATTAAAAATCAAATGTACAATAATAGAAAATGTAACAAATTCTATGTAACTGCTACTAATTGCTGTTACTACCACAAGCTAACATGTATTTTGAACAGTAAGAAATATAGATGGGCTATAGCTTACTGGCATAAAGCTTTCCTAGCATGAATGAGGCCAAACCAACAAAGAAAAATATGTCACACACTTTAGAAACTTGAATAGCCAATCTCCCTTAAGTTTCATCTAAAAAGTTTCACAGTCTACTAAAAAAGTTTCATAGCTAAGATACCAATTTTACAGGTGTTGAAGTGGGAAACATCAATATGAAAGGCATAAAATACAAAGATATAAATAAAACAAAATCTAAGGTAACTGTTTTTAAAGATTTAAATTAATATCAATGAATAATGTAAAAGCATTATGTTGTAGTTATTCATTGTGTGAGTGTTTGAATCTGTGTAATTTTTTTTCCAAATTTCATGTCTAAAGGCTTTATTTCTTTTTCTTTCCTATGATTAACACTAGGCTTCTTATAACGCATTTTAAAAATTCTGCATGTAGTGTCAAACAACTTTATTCTGAACTTCTATTAAAATTAAACTGATAGCTTTAATATCTTCTGTTTTTTAACTTGCCCTTTCTCCAGTGAAAATTAATGTTGATGATAAAAGTTAATTGTTTTTTAAATGGTTTTTTCATACTTTTTTACTTTTGCAAACAAAACCTTAATATTCCACTTTTTTCACATTCCGTGTGTTGCTATGTGTATTTGGATGAAGCACAGAGGTAGAGTGCTTGCCTAGCCTGTGAAGGACCTTGGATCAACTCCCAGCATTAAAAATAAAAAAAATGGAAAAGATGAAGGAAACTGGTGGCATTTGGATTTTATGTTTCATGTGTTAGAGAGTTGAGAACTTTTTTATTTTCATATACTTTCATGCATAAAGCCATTTAATTAAAGTATTAAAAACAAAGGATAAGTCTTTCTGTATAAATGATAAATCTCATTGTGAGGTATAATTTATTAGAATTTTTATTAACCAATAATTAAAAGCTATATTTGAGAATTATATCAATAATTAATTACAGATGATTTTTTGCATCTTTTCCCCAAAGCCTGTTGGCTGTAAGTAAAGTGCTGTCTGAAAATAAAAAACAGAGCCAAGGATTTTAACCGTGGTAACCTCATGCTTATGATCTTCCTTGCTGAGTGTTGAGATTATAGGCATGTGTCACCAAGACTGTCATACTCTTTGTGAGACCCCTTTTATGACATAGGTTCTCTTCATAACTATGTTGAACAACAGGCAGCAGAAATGAGAGACAGGATCACTACGAACATCATCCTTTGGAAGGCGTGGAACAGACAAATATTTTAGGGGTAACCTAGAATAGTAAATGTCAAAGATGCTGAGGTTTATAGGAGCTTTGATCAGCCAAAATAGAAAGACTTTACTAAGCATTTTGAGCACTCAGGTGACATGCTGCAAAAGGAATATTTTGACAGCTGGGTTACTTATGCCTGCAATCCCAGCCTGAAGGATGGTAAATTTAAGCACATCTTGCGCTATTGTAGCAAAAATCTGCCTTAAGAACAAAACAAACCAGATAGCTAAATAATAGATAGGTGATAGATAGATGATAGATAGATAGATAGATAGATAGATAGATAGATAGATAGATAGATAGATAGAGATAGATAATAGATAGTTGGACTATTGTATCTATAAAGAAAAGATATACTAAACCTACCTCAAATGTCAAACTCTTCTGATAATGATCCTGATGATGTACAAGTAAATAAAATAAACAATTTCTAAAGTATGACACCTAAACAATCAGATCCTCGATTTGACAACCAGAGTCTCCCTACACTGAACAGTTACTCTGCATGCAAAGACACTGGGGGTTGGGTAATGATGGCTAGAAAAGCAACCTTAGTTGAAAGCGGAACTTGAGATGATATGGTTGCTTACTTTAACAGATAAGGACCACAAGACATCTGTTGTATAATAAGACAGTCTATCAAAATAAAGCCACAACAAAAAAGTTCTTGTGGTGGTAGGGAAGACCCCCCACCCCGGTTTTGGAGACACTGTGTCTCTATGTAACTTAGCCTAACCTCGTATTCATGACCTTCCTTGCTAAGTGCTGAGATTGAACCCATGTATCACCAAGATGGGCATCTCTTTGTGATACCCCCTCCATTTCTTGGGTTCTCTTCATAACTATGTTGTGACAGCATCTTTAAAATCTTCTGCTAGAAAAGATGGCTCAGCAGTTAAGATATCTGCAATTATGAGGACTAGGTTTTGGGTCCCAGTACCCACAGTAACAAATCTGGCCACCTTGAAATTATCTGTAGTCACAGCTCTGAGGCAGGAGGATTGCTGAGGCTTACTGTTTTCTGTACCAGCTGCAGTGAAGCCACAGCTTCAGCCAGAGACCTTGCCTCAAGGAAATAGAGAGAGAGTGGCGAAATATGACATCGCACACCCTCTTCTGGTCTCTAAGTACACAATGCCTACTCACATATAAATG